ATGCTCTGGAGCAGAACGTCCCAGGCTGAGGGAGTAGCAGGTGCATGGCCCCAGATGTAACTGAGCAGAAAGAGAAGGCAGGACACAGCAAGGATGGGCCAAAGGAAAAAGAGAGAATTTGGTTAAGAGGATATGTGCTGAGGTTTTTCTTTTTCTTTTTCTTTTTTTTAACTGAAAACATAATCCTTGCACTGGTTTAAAAATAAATAAATAAATAAAGACAAAGGGTTTACAGTAACCAGTAACAAACAGGCCTCATTTCTACCCTAACCTTCCCAGTCCCTCATCCAAAAAACAACCACCATAACTGTAATTTATGTATTCTTTCAGAAATCTTATCCTATATCTATGCTAGATCCATATCTAGATAGCTTTAAAATAAAGGGGGAATAATTTAGTCCACAGCTCAGGAGGGAGGCCTTTTTTGTTTAGCAATTTGGCTTAGAATTGGTTGTACAAGAGTCTGCATGAACAAAAGCATTAAGTTCAGACAGGCCATTATTAAAATAACGAGTCCCCTAATTATGGCCATTGAGGTTACTTCTAGACTTTTGCTGTTGAAAACAATGCAATGATCCTTAAATGCACATCTCTGTGTAATAGGTGACTACCTCCATAAGATAAACCCCTGGTGTTAAAATTGCTGGATCACTAGGTGTGTGCATTTAAAATGTTGACAGATGTGGTCAAATGTGTGCTGAGCTTTTTTACACTCTGGAGGATTGAAGGGACTCTTTATGATAGATATTATGAAAGAGTGCATTCAGGTCCAATCTGAAGGAATAACTGTTAACATTCAAAAATGAGCTTAAATGAAGCTCAAGTTTAAAAAGAATTTAATTTTTTTATTCTGGACAATTTCAAATAAATACAAGAGGGAAGAGGTCAATATAAAGAACCCTATCACTCAGCTTCAACAGTTATCAACTCATGGCCAGTCTTGTTTCATCTAGATCCTCAATCCACTTGCCCCTGTCTTTGATTATTTCGAAGCAAATATCAGACATTATATCATCCCTTCATTAAATATTTCAGGATATGAAAGTGACTTACTGAGGATTAGTTTTCTTGTAGAATGACCCACATTCAAGATTTGTCAGAGCATTTCCTCTGGTATCGCCTAATATGTTCCTCCCTTCCCGGGGGTGTTTGATGCTGGGTAGAGAGGAGAGTTGGGGGTGAGCCACCATGGGAGGCAAGAGAGCCTGCAAAGACTCTGGGCTTCAGTACTGGGTCTGATATTTACTAGGAGCTGTGGGTCCTTGAGCAAGTCTAACCTTCTGAAGCCTTATTTCCTCATTCGGAAAATGAGGGGAATAGTTGAATGTTTTCGTGTAAAGCTGAGCTTGTATTGACATGTGGAAAGGGCTCTAGGTCACTGTAAGAACAAGGGACCCGGAGTGGTGGTGGGAAGGGCCATCACATCATAAGGCAACATAGTAGCAGGATGGGAGTGAGGGCTGGGCCGAGATAAAGAAGGGGGGTCATTCTGTAATGGCATCAAGAGTGTTGCTGCTAATGATGAAGGGTAGGAGAAGATGCCACCCGCATATACGGCACTTTGGTATAAAGATTATTTTGAGCTAAAAGCACTTACCAAAACATCAGGTACAAGAAATGTGCTCTGACTCTTTCCCTTTTCTTTTAAGAGCAGGAGATAAAATCCCCATATGCAAGATAGATGGGTAGATATATAAGGGTATACTCCTCTATATGGGGAGGAAAGTACCTTTTTTTTTTTTCAATGGAGGTACTAGGGATTAAACCCAGGACCTCATGTATACTAAACATGTGCTCCACCACTGAGTTATACCCATCCCCAGCAAAGTACCAATCTTATCATCAAGGACAGAAGTTGAAGCTGAGAGAATTCTGGACAAACAGACCTTGTTAAAATAATTCTTAACTGCCTTTAGCCTCCCCTTACATCTTAGTTACTTTTCTACAGTTGCTTCTCTTTGTTCAACCTCGTATAGAAGCATTTAGGTTCTGCCACTTCCTAGGGTCTTCATTTTCTTCTGAGGGCTCCAGTATCATATACAATTTGTATTAAATAAATTTTGATGCTTTTCTCCGGTTATTCTTATGTCAATCTAATTCTCAATTTCGGTCAAAAACCCTAAAAGGGTAGAGAGAAAATTTTGCTTCCCCTCTAATAATTTCACAGTGACCTTCTCAAGGCTGGAAATTTAAAGAAGATAGTGTTTCTTTTGCTTGCATGACAGCATAAAGTGTCATGGAGCAGAGAAACAGGCAAGGGCTTTGGTGTGGGATGTGACATGTCCCACTGGTGGTTTCTCACCTTTAAGAGTGGGGGCCGTGTGCTGGGGTGGTTCTGAGGGCAGTTTATTGGAAGTTACATCCTTCCTTTCTACAGAGGTATTTGTGCATAGTGGGTGAAGTCATTAGAGTCTTTCATTTATATAAAATTAGAGACTTTGGAAGGTTATCATTTCCATTCAAAAAGCTGACTGTTTAAAGCATCCACTGATTCTGCAGATGTTGAGAAATAAACTGGTATAAACACAAACATCTGGAAATATGAAATTAACAGTAGAACAAGGGCTTTTTAAGGCCCAGTCGATAAGTAAGCTGCAGGGACTGGCCACAGGGCATTTCAATTTACAAAGCTTTGGGGCAGGGTGATGGGAGACTTTTCTATGTTCTATCTTTTCTTCAGCAAGCTCAGCTTCCCACAAAAGCCCTCTTACTATTACCCTTATTTTCCAGATGAGGAAATGGGGCTTCAAGAGGTTAGACTTGCTCAAGGACCCAGAACACATCCAGTTACGCAGTGCAAAGTGATGGAGGAATCCATTTTCAACCCAGGCTCAGCAGCATATGGGTTACAACTTCTCACTGAATTTTTGATATTTTGGATTAATTATTTGTGATTGGTCACATTTTTAGATGAATCAACTCACTTGTCCAATTTGTATTTATTTACAATCCAGGAATGAGAATGAGCATGGCCTGCCTGGGCTAATAGAGGCATACATGAAGTGAGATTTTTTCCAGTGTCATGTCCTGAGCGATATACCACCCCTACATCATCTCATTTAATCCCCATTTCACCCCTTTGATGGAGCTATGTTTACCTCCATTCTAGGGATGAGAAAACTGAGGCTCTAAGAGGTTAAGAAACTTGTTCCAATTCACTTAGCGAATCAGTTGTGCAGACAGGATTTGAAACTAGAGAGGGCCCTAAGAACCAGTGTGGGTTTCACCTAGACCTTTTAGGTCTTTAGACCTTTTAGGTTCTAGAACTGGGGAATGACTTGATGAAAAAGAAGAGAAGAGCTGTCGAGTGGCATAGTACAGGATTCACAGAGGAAGGAAAGACGTGGAGTGCAGAGATCACATAGGACATTACGGCAGCAATGCAGGCCCTGGAGATGGAGTCACTAGAGTCTGGAACTAGAAAACCTGGTTCCAGTCATGTCTCCACCATGATGCTACTGGCTGGGGAACCTTGGGCAGGTTACAGCCACATCTCTGAAGTCTTGTTACTCCTCCCTAAATAATGGGCTTATAAACTGAGACTAGAAAATCTCTTTCAAATTCTAAAATTCTGCCTGATGCCTTTAAATTTTAATGCAGCCTAAAGATTTATATACGAAGAATTTAAACATCATCTAGAATCCAGAAAAAATTTAGGTGTAATAATGCTCATCATAATCTTCTTTTCAAAGTACAAAGGAGTAGAATTGTCTTTAAGAATGCTTTCTAAACCAGATTATATTGAGACAAGTCAATCATTTCTGCATCTTATTGTTTTCTTTGTTTAAGAAAATGATTTGGGGATAGTTGCTGTAGTGGTGGTTGATGATATTAAAATCAAGTAAGAATATTACCCTTGAAACAAATGAAATGATTTAAACCTATCTCTCTAAGATACTTTATGAAAATATACCTAGGAGACACAAATTATACTGTCATCAAATTAATTTGTTTTCTAAGCTCAAATTTAATTTAAAATATGATAGCTCTTCAACTGGTTCAATCAACAAACTTTAAAGAGATTTTTAGATAGAGAAACAGGAAATATAGTAATGTTGAAGCAAATAATCAACAAAATAGTTGTTCTGTTGCTTGTGATGCTTCTAGAAAGTATTTTTAACAACTCCCTGAGGAATTGGCTCTCGCTGGTGTGAAGCCAGGCTTTTCTTTCCGTTAGCAGCTGCAAACTTTTCTCCATCCTTATATCCTATAACAAATCCATTTCCAAGCCCTGCTGAGTCTTGTCTCAGTGTTTCTCAAAACTGACACTTCCTCATCTACAAAGATTTGGGGGGTGGTTTGCAGAAGTGGCCTCCTTAGAACAACCCATGAGGGCAAATGGATCTTCCTGAAATAAAGTCAATTCTATTATTAAAACCTTCAGGGGTCCCACTGCTTATAGGATAAAATCTAAATTCTGCAGTGGAGATCCCTATCCTTTCAGCCAAGCAAATGCATTAGCTTTCTTTACAGACTTTAATCTTCCACGCCTGAGATTTTGTTACTTGGAATGCTCTGCTCTTTCCGCCAGTTTATGGCCATCACCTTCTTCGATTCTGTCTTGAATCTCATTTCTTTCAGGGTGTTCTGGTTTAGTAGCTATTAAGCAAAAAACTCCTGTTTTTGAGTTTTTCATCACATTAAGTACTTTAAAAATAAATTATTCAAGTCTAGGGATAAACAACTTACAGTGATTTTCATTCTTTAAGAAATCATCCAGAATGATTTTACTTTCTGAGAGAGACCATTCCAAATTTTAGGTGTATGATTTTTTCGCTAGGAATCCACAGTAGAATCAGAGCGAAACGACTCTTTATGGTGACCTCTAGTGGGCAAGGGACAATCCTACAAAATTATGAAAAGTGAAGGGCGAAATAAAACCCTTCCCAGTAAACAGCTGGGTTACCCTGAGGTCAGATGACCGCATCCCACCCTACCTCACTCTTATTTTTTCTTCCAGGATTTGTTTTGCATTTAACACAGTTTGCCTTATAACTCACCTGTTTCGCCTCTGGCGGGTACTGCGCGGGCAGGGCTGCCGATGTCGGAAGTCTTCTGAATTGCTGGGAGCAGTTTAAAATAATCCCTGCCAAGTGGAACCCACTCCTCGGGCATCGAGCAGTGTCTGGGGCAATTAGCTCTGCAGAGCCTTGATGGGCTCTTCAGGCTCCGAGTGCCGGTCCTGCCAGCCGGCTCCGAGGTGCACGGGGGAAATTAAGACAATATGAAAAGGAGGATGAAGACGACGGCAAGGATAAATTCTGTTCTTGACAGTGGCAAGGCGATTTCCCCCAGATTTCCATCCCATTCTACAAGAAGCGTCACGAGGGGATTCAGGGTCGCTACACGTAGCGCTCTCTTAGGACCCGCGCTCTAGAAAGCGGGGGCTAGAGTCGCTCTCCTCCGGGAGAGGGCAGGCGGGAGGGCGGCACTGAGACTGGGTGCTGGGGTGTGCGGCCGCCTTCGGAGCACGCGGTATGTGGGTCCCCGCGCCGGGAGAGGAAGAGCAAAGTCGGCAAGAAAAGAATTGCTGGGGTGCTTTCTCTGAGAAATCCTTTGGGGCGGTCTCACAGATCGAGCTGAGCTCCGGAGAGTTTCTGGAAAAAGCTTTCCAAACGCCATCTGTCCCCGCCCCTCAAATCCCGCACCCCAGTCCTCACTCCTCCTTGCCCGCCTGTCCCCTCTCCTTGGGGGCTGTTAAAAGGGCCCTTGGGAGCTCCCCAAATCATCCTGATGGCCCGAGGCGGGACGCGGGAACAGAGACCCCTCCGCCTCTACCGGGGCCTCCCGGCTCCACGCACCCCCGCCCCGCGGACCCCTCCTGGCCAATGCGGGAGGGAGCGGAGAGGGAGGACCGCGTCACGAGGCGGGGAGCCCGAGGTCCAGGGCGGGGCGCCGGGGAATCCCAGCCCGAGAGAGGTGCGGGCGCGGGTGGGAAGA